CTTCAACTCATTTCCTGAGAGGTTAAGGACCTTGAAGTTCGGTGCCTTCTGCACTATATTAGAGAATATAACCACTTGTCTGTCAATTTCTTTTATTGAGGGCGTGATCTGCATGTTGCTACTCTTAACAGTTTAGATATCTCCGTGCTTGCTTGTTTATTATCTGCTCTTATGAGTACAGTGCTTGTCTGTCGGATGCTATACTAAAGTGAAGCTTCCCGATTAAGACAGGCTAGAGGCTGTACGGCACATGGTGTTCAGTATTTCAGTGTGTGTCAAGATGCAACAAAGCCCGAGCACTGAAGACATGTAAACTGTCATGATAAATGACTTCCCAAAAATTTCTCAAAGGATGATTGTGAAGAAACGTGTAGGACTGCAACTGCTAATATTATAATGAACCAAAAGTTTCATCCTTAAGTAACTGGGTGAATATTCCAGTCCTTAACAGAATGCATTCATTAGCTCAGGTGTGCCATGTAACATTTTGAACAAGAAAAATGAAGTCATTGTGAAAACTAGAAGAAAATGATAAAAATTTTGACATTGATCATCCTATTTCACAATAATTACATAAAAATGCATGCTTGGAAACATGATATATACTAGGCAATAAAATATTTTTTTTAAAAAATATGCTCAAAGCTCCTACCTACTACTATCTAAAATTGTCTAGGGTGCTCTAGTGGTCTGGTAGTAAGAAGCTGTGCTGCAGCCCCAAAGGACTGCTGTTTGAATCTATCAGCTGCTCCATGGGAAAAGGATATGCAATCTCCTCTCTTAAGCTTTACTGCTTCTGAAAACGCACCAGAGGGTCAGCCAAGGGTTGATTTCAACTTGACAGTACACAACATGTCCAAAGCTCCTAGTGCTATCTAAAATTTTCTAGGTCATGTATTTAACTGCTGACTGCCAGCCCTGATCTAGACTCCGGCTTCCAGGAGAGAGATCTTTATTGCTGCAGTGCTCAGGGTGTGCTTGGAGGGAGCAGGTGTTTAGTAAACACTGACTAATGTGATGAACAAGTGCCTGTTAGTATAAATCTCCTTTGCAGCTCATTTTACTATACTCAGCAACTCGAGACTTACCGCACAGGTATTTTTATCTAAGGT